ATTATTTTTATTTAAAAATTATAATAAAAAAATAATTAATTAAACTTTTATATAAGTGTATTTTAAAAGTAAAAAAAAAGAATGGAATTAAGAATCAGGAAAATCAAGAGCCTTGCTATAAAAAAAAAAAATTAAAACAAGATCTAAAAAGCAACATCTTAAAGGTCCCAGCTTATTTTGCTTGCTTGTTGCCATCGTCTTCTTCCTATTTCAAAACAGATCTTTTTGTTTTATCTGCGGGTGGCTACAAAGGAAACCGTGTGAAAAACGCAAAATACGAAAATATCTCTTGTGCCATTTCTGACTCCTATATTCATGAAACGCGACAGTCTCTTCCTGTTAACAGTGACGAGTCGATTGCCATTATTAGTGCTTTGAAAATTCAAAGTCAGCAACGTCCTTTGAAATTCAAAGTCGGCAACTTGGACAGTCCGACCTGGACGTTTTCCTCATCTTGTGGAATTGAATTCTGTTAGTTGGCTTTTATCTTATCATGTGTTTGGGTAGCATGCACGTAAGGTGTTTGATTTATTGCCTCAGAGAAAGACCAGTTTGAATTAAAACACGAAAGCATAGAATCTGGGTTTGTGTTATCTATCCTAAAAACATAGGAAAAGGGCCTTATATTCTCCTGTTCAACCTTTAGGATGTTAAGGGCAAAGCTTGTAGGGGCATTGGGCGTAATGACCCTCGCTGTGTCTCTATTTCTTGATGCTTCTGTTGCGCAAGGCCAAAACAAGCTCTGTGCCCCTTCTTCCCGTGGAAACCTTAGTATCAGTTACCCTTTTCGTTTAAGTAGGGAATCTATTGAGTGTGGTTACCCGGGGTATGAATTAGTTTGTGAGAACAATCGCACAACGTTCCTCACCCAATCTGGGAAATTCTTTGTGGAGGAAATATCTTATGATAGGTATACACTTTGACTGGTGGATGCTAGTCTAGATCTTCATAGGAATACATGCTCTATCCCTCGTAATTCCTTCCTAGGTAAAAGGGATTTTGAGAATAGGTAAGAAGAGACCTATTATAACTCCCTCTTCAACAAACTAGAAAAAACTAGAAATAAATTGAACCAATGAAGTTGAGAAGAACAAGAACTGAATTAAAAGCATGAAATAGCTGCCAAAGGATTGAACAAAAGTTCAGTTATCAGACTTGGGAAAATGTTGATCTACTGGAATACAGATAAAAAAATCAAAAAAATAAAGAAGAAAAATCCTTCCCTGTAAAAACATTCTGTATTTGCATGATAGCTGGTTCAGTTGATACAAGTCTTTTTAATGATTCTATAAAACTTTCAGGACTCGAGGTTACATCTTTACTTTGATATGGATGAAGGGATAGGAAAAGTGGAAAATAACTACTTGGTTTACATTATATAGTCCAATTATTTAGAGGACAATAGTTGTGTTGAATTTGAATACGTAAAAGTATTTTATTCCAATTCAAAGATAACTGGTAGTTCTCTGTTATTTGGTTTCCTAGGTATGTTGGCACTCATCTGCACTGCATCTGCATGGCCGAAGGGATTTGGCGGCACTGTCAAACTGTCTACTTCTCCTTCTAACATGTGAATCGCAGCTTTCATTGATGGACGGTCTGCTGGATACCACTGAATGCACCAAAGTCCAACAATTGTAAGTTTTCTTGCTATCTTGGCATGCCCTTCATTTTCTATTCTAATCCTCAGCTCTTCTCCTCTGTCCAAGCAATTATACACCCATTCCGGAAAATAAAGTTGGCTCGTACTCCCCACTGTAGCATCAGCATTCTTCCTCCCTCCTACCATTTCCAACAATAGCATTCCAAAACTATAAACATCTGATTTATGTGTAACTTTTCCGAAGTTTCTAGACAATACCTCAGGTGCAATATATCCCATGGTTCCTCTAGCTGCTGTCATGGAAACAGCACTTTGTTCCTTAGAACACAGTTTTGCTAGACCAAAATCAGATATCTTTGGATTGAAATTTTTGTCTAGCAAGATATTGTGAGGCTTGATATCAAAATGAAGGATTTGCTGGTCACAACCATGATGCAAGTACTCAATTCCTTTGGCTATCC